AAGACGGTTCCTATAGAGCATTTATAGTAGGCCGGCTCTTTAAGCTATAGCTATTAGTAAGGAAGGTATATAAAAGAGACCTCTTAAACGTACTAGTAAACTAAAAGTAGCTAGAAAAACACCCTTAAAGAGACTAGTTTTTCTAGGCCTAGAAAGACTACCTAGCCTTATATAAAGAGATAGGGTCTTTTAAAGAGGTCCTTAAGGAAAAAGCAAAAGGAAAATAGGTCCTAGCTATAAGTCGGTCTTTATCTATAAGACTAATAAATATAGCTTCCTTTAGAAGTATAAGGCCTAGTTAGTTATCTATAGGAATTAATAGGAAAAAGTAGATCTACTTACTAAGGCAACTACCTTAGTAAGGATATCTTTTTAGACCCTTATAGTAATAGTAGTAGAATTTAACCTTGAACTTAAGTAGATAGATATAGTTAACGCCTTAATTAACTACCTACTTAAGGAAGAAGAAGTTATTTATATACGCTTTCTACTAGGCTTCTAATAGCTAGGAAAGGTTTTACGGCTTAGGAAAGCTTTATACGGACTATAAAGATTACCCCTTCTTTAGTAATAGTATTTAATAGGTTCCCTTAAAGCCCTAAGCTTTAAGAAAGTCCCTTAGGAACTATATATAATATAGAAAGGTAAAGTTACGGTCTTCTTTTACGTCGACGATATTATCTAGGCCTACCTAAAAGAGGAAGAAGTAACTGCTAGGGAGGCTATAAAAGGCCTATAAGAAAGGTATAAGATAACTAAGCTAAGGGAGCTAAAGTAGTTCCTAGGGATACGAATTCTTTAGAATAGGTCCTAAAGGACTATCTAGCTTACCTAAGACGCCTATATCGATAAGGTCGCTTATAAATTCCTCCTTAATTCCCTCGATAAGAAGCTTCCCTCTAAGCCTATATTAGATAAAGAGCTTTTACTTAATCCGTCCTTTTAAGCTAGGGAGTAAGAGAAACACCGATATTAATAGAAGGTAGGCTCCCTGCTTTTTTTTAGCTATTTCTACTAGACCGGATATCTCTTTTACGGTCTCCTAGCTAGCTAGGTATAACTAAAATCCTAGCCCTAAGCACTAAGAAGTAGTAGACCGAGCAATTATCTATCTCTATTTAACGAGATTATATAGTCTACGCTAAGGAGGGTAAGAAAGGAAACTAGCTACCGAAATCTTCCTTTATTTAAGCGATTCGTCCTTTATAGATAATTCCTTAGATAGAAAGAGCTTATAAGGGTATATTATATCCCTTTTTAAAGGAACTATTACTTAGAGAGCTTCGAAGTAAGCTACTATTACGACTTTAAGTATAGAAGTAGAGCTACTAGCTCTTTTAAAAGCGTTAAAAGAAGCGATTTTCCTTAGCCGGGTACTTATATCTTTACGACTATAAATTCCGACCCTATTATTTATATAATATAATAATATATAGACTATATAGATTCTTATAGAGGAAAATAATAAGCTATTAACCTAGCTACGGTATATCGATATCTATTAGTATTAGTTACGCTAAGAGGTCTAAAGGGGACTTATTTCTATCTATTAGGTTCTAACCGTATTAATAAAAGCCAACGGTCTTATAAAGCCCCTACTAAAGTAGAAGCTAGCTATCTTTTTATAGTAAATTAAGCTAAAAGACGTTCGAGAGAAGCGATCCTTAGAAGCCCGCCTTAAGAGTCTATAAGAGGAGCTAATAGTACGTAGGAGGAAGGAGACGTTTATAGCTAAAGAAAGGAATTAGGACTTATTCTAAAGGAGGGCCCCTAGCTTAATTAGGACTTATTCTTCTTAAAGGCCCCCTCTTTTAAGGGACTTATCCTTAGAGAAGACCCCCTTTCTTATAGGACTTAATTTCCTTCTTAGGCTCCTTTTCCTAAATTAGGTCTAAAAGAGCCTAGGGCTAAAACCCGGATTTCTTAAGTAAGAGATAAGTATAGACTAAGACCTCCTCTATACGCTTACCGGCCTAACTTTTTAGCTTTACCCTTTCTATAAGGGCAGGCTATAGCTAAGGGGGTATATCGCGAAGCGTAGCCTAATTTATATTCTTAGAGATATCCTATAGTAAGAGGGACCTAGGAAGCTAAAAAAACCGGATTAAAAGAAGGAGCTAAAAAGAGGTATAGAGAGGAGGGTAGGGGCATAAGGGGAAGCAGAAGTAGCGATAGCTTCCTATAGAGGTAGCGAGAGATAAGACGGATATACCGGTAATAGCTAGAAAGAAGGGGAAAACCTAGTAAAAAGCTCGGTAGTTAAGAGGATATTAGTAGCTTCTTTAAGTAGGATCTTCTTTATTAATTAAGATGCTAGACGGGTATAAAGAGGAGCTTTAGATAAAGGAAAGAAGGATAATTAAGGTAAAATAATAATTACTCCCTTACTATAATTACTCCGACCCCTTACTTTTAATTTTACCTTTATATATTTTTATATACTTCTCGTATCTCTCTTTATAAGAATAGTAGCTATAAGAGTAGTAGGTTATACCGTTTAGGTTAAGTACTAGCTATAAAGGAATAAGACTACTTACTATTATATATTAGTAGCCTCTTTATTTAGTTCTAAGCTAGCTTTTTAAAAGATAGCTAAGTAACTATTACTAATAGGCTTTATTAATATAGATATATCTTATAGCTACTAGCTAGAAAGGGCTTTTATTAAGAAGAATTAGTTAGCCTCTTTAAGGATTTCTTCTTACTTAGCTAGCTATAAAGAGGCTAGAAGTTTCCTAGTAAAAAAGGCTCTTAGGTAAGCTATATAAGTCTTCTTAATACGGTTAGTTATATAGCCCCTTAAGAGAGCTATCGAGGTCTTAAGCTTTAAAAGCTACTACTTAGGAGTCTCTTTTTCTTAAAGAGAGATTAGCTTTATAATACTAACGGATTTTATTATAGCTATATATATAGTAGTTAATAGCTTTATCTTATAAAGGTATTCCTTATAGTAACTCTTATAGTTACCTAAGGTAGTAGAAAAAGCTCTTTATTATATAGAGGTTAGCTTAAAAAAGAGGGTAGCTCGCTTTATAAATTTTATTACCTTAGGATAAAGCGGGGGCTTAAGAGGGTCCTACTTATTAAAGAAGACTAAATTATAAATAGTTCTATCTACTTAAGCTTATAGCTCCTTTACTTACTTATCTTAATCTTAGGGCTTTATAAGAATCGTCTTATAGATTATAAAGGCGGTAGAGTTAATTTTCGATATTACTATAAAAGGAGGGTAGGAAAGTTAGTTAAAAATTAGCTTTTTTAATAGGAGGGGTAAAAGGGAGCTATAAGGGATATAAAAAAGGTGCCTTTTATAGTAGCTAGAAGGTATAGGAATTCTATTCCTCCTAGGCTTATAACTCTTATAAAGAGAGATATAAGAAGTATATATAAAATATATAAAGGTAAAAGTAAAAGTTAGGAGTTAGATAGGTAGGGCAAAGTTATTTAATTCTTATAAGGGTAGTAATTATAGTAAGGGAGTAATTATTATATTGCCTTAATTATCCTTCTTTCCTTTATTTAATACCTCTTTTTATATATATTTAGTATCTTAATTAATAAAGAAGATCTTACTTAAAGAAGCTATTAATATCCTCTTAACTATCGAGCTTTTTACTAATTTTTCCCCTTTATTCTAGTCGTTACTAGTATATCTATCTTATCTTTTACTATCTCTATAGGAAGCTATTGCTACTTTTACTTCCCCTCTTACCCTTACCTTCCTTTCTATACTACCTTTTAGCTCCTTCTTCCTTCTTTTATACCGGTTGTTTTTTAGCTTCCTAGGTCTCTATTACTAAGGGTTATCTTAGAGAATATAAATTAAGCTATACTTTAGGATAGAAATAAGTACCTTAAAAATCTATAAATCTAAGATAGTACTTCTAGGTACTTATAAATAGAGTGCTATAGGTAAGAATATATATTAGATTTATCTTTATCTACTTATAAAAAACAACTTAAATTAATAATTTTAAACTATATTATATTATTGCTTTAAGGCTTTATACCTTTAAGGAATATAAGCTATTACTAGGCTAGTAGAAACCTAAATTTAAATCTATATAGTATTTTTATTATATAAAAGGTAGTAGCCGCTTAATAGATATAAGCGATAGCGTTAATTAACGTATATAGGGTACGCGATAATTTTAGGGTATTTATATAACTTTCCTAGGAGAGTAAAGCGGCTTAAGGGATCTAATAAAAGTAGTATTATATAGTTTTTAACGACTTTACCCTTAACCTTAACTTAGTCTTATTAAATTAATACTAGTTATAACTTATCTAAAATACCTAGCAGCTTATAAGGAGAAATGCTTATAGTAGGTAAAATCGAAAAAAATAAATAGATTGCTAGCATTAATAATATTTTATATATAAGGAGTCGAGGAATTTAGTAAAGTTAATCGATGTTAACTTAACTAACACTGTATTAATCACCACCCGGAGCTACGCTTATAAATGCGACTGGGGATCTAAGACTTGTATTCTAGAGAAAGTGGCTCATACTCAAATAGCCGCCTCACCGCACGTAACTGGCGCACCATGGCCCCTTGTCAGCCATTGATTTCCGGCTCCGCAGTTGTGCTACTGCACACGGCATGTCTCTTCTTCTCCCCAAATTTAATAAACTGCTCATCCTTAGTGGACCTACCCCATAGCTCCACAATGAGAACCCACGCTGTCAGGCTAGTCGTAATTGAGATCAAGGATAGGGATCGGAGGGAGTGTGCCAGCGGTAGGAGAAACATAACGAGAGGAACGGCAACACGGTTGAAGAGTCTATACTTCTTAGCCAGTCGGATGTTGCTTGGGATTAGATGGTCGTGGCACAGTGAGATGGCTCCCATGCAAAGGAGAGCGACGGCCAAACCATGGCAGTAGAAAAAGCGAACTCCGTCTCCAATGTGGGCCTCGGCACGCTCGTGATAAGGGCTCGCAAGCTGCTCAGAATCGGTACCCGGGACGTCGGTAGCCAGGACAAGGGTTGACAGTGCCTATGTCGAGATAATATAGGCCATGACGAATGGGAGGTGGACGAGCTGCCATAGAGTAGCTGTGGCCGATTAGCAGAGATCTTATATTTCGTCAGCATGTATTATTACCGGCGGTGGCAGAGCGACGAATCGCATGCTGGCTGATGTTTTCTGAGTCGATGTCGAAGTAGATCCAGTTGAAGGTAAAGGCCTGGAGCAATCCTAGAACAGCTTTGCCTAGAAAGGCATTTACACTGTAGCCACCCTTGCTCTGGAACAGGATGCCTACAACTGAGTACCCTAGTATAAGGGAGACGAAGGCGTTCATCCTCTCTACCCTATGCTCGATGCTTATCGCAGGGATAAACTCAAAGTAGCGGTTCAAACACTTCATCAACGTAGACTTATCGCCCAACTTACTGCCGTACCTAAAGAAGCCGTAGAAAATCCCCTGGCCATATATATCAAGTAGTAGTGCGGCCCATGTAAGTCCAAGGCGTGATGGCATATCGACGTGGATACTGGCAATCCAAAGTGCAGACGGAACGATAGCACTGATAGATAAACATACCATCATGCCCCTAATCATAGGCAGCAGATACGCAATTAGAGCATAGTGTACTGCGAACAGGAGCCGTACCGCAAGGTAGAATGAAACCAATTGCGTGTAAGTATCCTGACCTTTATCTTCCGCAAAGCTGTTGGTCATGTTTGTAGTGAAGCTGGAACAAGTTAGTCGTCAGCTAGACTATAGAAAGCATCACTAGGGGTACTCACGCTAAGAGACAAGCAATAGCAAATAGAATCTCCAATCTTGTAAGGAGATCATCCGTTTCAAACCAATTTAGGGCCGAAGTGATGTCTGTCCAGATCTTCCATGACATCATAAACGTAATGGCAAAACGCAGCAGCTCATGGCCATTAGGCTCTTCCGACATATGCTCGCCATTGCTATGAATAATGCCGACTGCCTTTAGGGTCAGACACAGGTTTCCATTCGAAATATGAGCTATTAAGACCTTACCATAGAGAAGATCAAAGAACAACTCAACCGCCATGATCTCTGTTGGCTCTGATGTTCGCCAAATAAGGTTTTGATGAAACCACTGCCTTACTACCGGCTTCTTGAACAGCCTAATCGTCGAAGGCTGCCGGTGGCTTTGACCTTCCACCTCATCGGACATCTTGTCGGCATTGGGCTCTCCTGAAAACTCCGCACTAGTTCCCTCTTTATCATAAGTGCGAAGATTGGGATTAAATCCGAATTTGCCAAGATTAACGTTTAGTCCGGCTGTCCGAGTCGATAAACGCTCCAGATCTTGCACCACTGAGTTCAGTTGCTGTAGGACATGTTCGAATTCGTCAAACGTCGGGTCAAGACGTTCTCGCAACTGCGCCCGGCGGTTTTCGTAATGCTCTCGTAGCTGCTGGAGATGGCTGATGTGCTCGGTCGAGCCTTGGACAACATGTTCGACCTCGGCCTGGGATTCGTCTCTGTTCGGATTTTCCTGTCGCTGCCTATGGATGTCCTTTGGGGAGGATACAATGACCTTCTTACCATCAGGTAGGGTCAGTAGTTGCCCATGGGGCCGAGGACCCGATTTAGCAGCTGTAGACATGACGGGGAAAGACAGGCGCGGGATTGTGTTTTCCTAAGGGCTGCAACAATGCTGTTGTTGCAAAAAAAAAAAGGTTTACAAGGCGTTAACAAGAGCTCGTTACGGGTGGGGGGATTTAAGTATGAGACAACGAGGCAAGCAGAAGTCCACTACGGCATGTCCTTGCTAAGGTCCAATTGCCTTGAGTTTAGTAGCGCGTCTTAAAGTTAAGTTACCCAACTTAAGTCCGTTTGTTGCTAGGACTACCGTAGAAGCTCGTAGAATTCGGACGGTCTTAGCGGCGCGCGGCGGTGGTGCCCTACAGTGTCGAGTTCCACTAGATCTGTATAGAGCAAGTGTCAGACGGCGGGACAAGCGCGTAAAAGTACTTCTTATCGACAAGCTTAGAAAGCCGAGCTCTATGGGGCCCTTACCGGCCTAGACCACTAAGTCCGTCCGAGTTTGTAATTTAGGAGTTTTTACGGTAAACCGAAACCAGGCAAAAGCAGCGTTACAATTCACTCTATCGCATTACCGAGTTAGATCTCCTTTACATCCCCTTCCGGCGTGCTAGACGCATGCCCCCTTGTAGTGCGGGCAGACGTCCCAATAATAAACGAATACATATTTTTAGCATATTGTTATATATTATAAAGAGCAGACTTATATTAATATTAATCATTAAGATTGGCAATTCTTATTAATAGAGTAAATTACTGCGAGGCCGACTACAACATCGTACTAAAGCACATGATACATATCAAGCCCCAGACTGACCGAGCGCAGCAAAGGATTTATGTAGCCAAGAATGCATGCTGTTCTCATGTTCGGCCTCTATTCACACCGCAACAGTTTATATGCGAGGAAGTAAACTGACCTAAAATACGCGGCTGAATGAGAAATAGAAACAAGAGGACCAAACTATTAATACTTAACAATATATATTGATAGGCAGCGCCTGTATTTATATGGATATGGATGACCTTAACATCAAATATGTCTATATCAATCAATGTATATATGGCTACGGAGATGTCTACGTGCGAGTCCTAATTAACGAGTTATACTCTTATAATGCCGTTGACATCGGGTGATTACCAGGCGGCAGGTAGACAGTAGCGTTCTTCGTGGTTAAGCTACCGCAGTTTTGTCTGCGTCGCCGGCCGTCATCATTTATGGCCGCCCTGATGGCAGCAGTGTCATCCTATATACCGGTCGATCCTTAGTGCTAGCACTTTGTCATGACGTTTGATATATTTCCTGAGCGCTAGGATGAGGTATGGGCTCCCCGGGAGCCCAGGGCACGGGCGGCTGACACCACCAGCTGCAAGGGGCACTGGCAACAATGGCAACGGCCAGAGTTCTTGCAAACCGGCTACGCCGGCCGGCGTAGTTCTACTATATAGTCCGTAGCTGCCTCTTCCACATAAGGAGAGGCAATTCCAACATAGACCGACAATTGCCAGAACGGTTCGTATAGAGTCATTAAACCGTGCATCTAAAAATCAGGTGCGCGTATCTCTTTTCCATGGTGCAACGGTAGTTCTAAGAGCAGTAGGCATTCACCCTACCTTTTTTAAGTTGACCGTATCATGACCTCAAGGGATTTTCCGCCGAGGTTCAAAGAGTTGCCTGCACAAGCGGCACAGGTCTTAGATCCGGTCCCGCAGCTACACACCACTCCAGGGCCATCTACAGCTCTTCTTCCAGCTGACCCCCTGGAAAGTGTTTCGGTGTCACGAGAGATACCTTTTGTCAAAGCTGTCCAATGCGCTGGCGAAGATGTTGGACGCTCTCCCGCCTGTTCAAGGCCCTGCTTGCCTCCCCCCTGCCCCAGACTCACCTATTGCCCCATCCCCTTCTGTCATCGCGGAGTGCTCGGCTGGAAGCATGCAAAACTCGGCCAGCGAAGAGTCTCCGGTTCCCGAGCCACCTACTTTGCACGACTCTCCCTTACCAACGATGTGTTACGACTCCGCACAGGTCATATACAGCAGATATATTGCCGCGAGACGCGCATGGTATGCGGCGGGGCCCGCCAGCAACGTGGTGACCAACCAGCGATATCGTAGGGCGAAGGAGCTTCCACTCAGGTATGGGCCATGGCAAACAGAGCTGTGCATGGTGTTTAGCCTACAAATGTATGTCCAAGCGCTGCACCACTTCAACAGGGTCAAGAGAATGGACGAAGGAAGAGATGATATCGTATTAGGACTGGAGCAAGTCGGAGGACGAGCGAGTTGAAGCCCAGGTCGGCAAGGGGATGATAACTGACAACCACTAGCAAACAAGAGACGAGTTGTGATAGACATCCGGAAGAGTTTTAATCGGGACTGTAAGAAGCAGCGAAGCGAGCCTCGTACTTGAACGCCGCCTCGGCAGAGCAGTGTATAAATGGGCCAGTTTGATAAGGACTTGGTCCAAGGAAAATATCGCCGTCAAAATGTAGCAATTTCTCTTCCCCCCCCCCACACCAATTCTTTTTGATCGAATTGGCGAATGGGCAAGTATAATAATGGAGGGAAAGCCTGCGTCGCACAAGCGCGCCAATAGGGTCGCCAGGCGCCCTGTTGATTAAAATGGCGCCCGGGCGCCAGTGTATCAGCTAGTGATTGGCGTGGCGCAGATAGAGTTGGTTAGTTTCAAACAGAGCGGGGTGCGGCAATGCAGACTAGATAACTTACAAGCAGGACTAATAAATGACTCACATCGTCTTCGACCGTCTATCCGCCAGCGGATGCACTTACGCGTCCATTTCAGATACATGTAGTCTCAGCGGTGGATTGCACGCGCAACTCAGCTTCAAAATGACCTTTTGTACTGTCTCAATTGTGTGCCATTCTCTTGCGAGGCTGCCGTCTGCCTATTTCGACAGCTTGGCTGATATCGGGACAGAGTTGGGATGATTCACTACGATGCAGGCTGGCCCACCACTTCCGATTAAGGAAATACAGTATTTTGCTATGTACAACTATACTGTACTCAATAAAGATTCAAGATAAATGATCTGAAGGCAAATGCGCCGTCGGTCGTCAGCTACCCGCTCCTGTTGTCGTCGCCGCTTACGGTCGACGCTTGAGATGGATGCGTGTTGCTGCAGTTGGCTTCAGGGTCTATGCACGGGTGGTCTAGGCATCAGTCCAGACTGTGACGTCTAGGCAATTGGCGTAGAAGAAAGCCCGCAGCAGCCGGCAAAGGTGATGTGAGCCATTTGAGGTGTCCTTGCATGTGCAGATCGTAGCTCAGCTACATTCTGGTCTTTTGCATTGGTGAATGCATGACCAGCAAAGACCTGCGTTGTCACACTGCAGAAGCGCGCTTGGGATCTGGCCTCGCGAAAGGTATGCCAATCTAAGTGAGTCCAGGAATAACGGGATTCTCAAGCAGTGGCTTCAGAGCATAGTAGAAGAAATAGGGGCATAGAAAGGTAAATTTAGTAATGCATGTCTTGGTCTATCTATTAGGACAAGGGAGGGGCTTATATAGGTATAGTAACTATATATAGCTAGCTAAAAGAGGGCATTAAGATATTCCTATACCTAAGTTAGGCCTATATAATATCCTTATATAAGGGGAGTTATATTAGTTAGGCAGGCTTCCTTATATATAACTATTAAGTCTACTAAGTATAACTATAGCCTCTTATACTTACTCTCCTTAATATACCCCCTTACTACCCTAGCTTCTAAATAATAGGGTAATATATAGAGGAGCGTTTAGTCTAATAAATATAAGGCTATTTTAATATTAAATTTAGCTACGTTATTATTTATTTTAAGGAGGTTATCTTAAAATAAGGGAGGCTCTTAATAGTATCTTATAAAAATAAGGTAAATATAGTAAAGGTAATATAGTTCGGTAACTAGTACTATATATCCTTTAAGTACGTAGTACTAGTTACCCCTCTTACTAAAGGAGGGTTTAAATATTAGTTAGTTAGGGTTATATAACTTACTCTTACCGCTTAACTAGTAGTTAAAAGCTATTACTATTGCCCCTCTTATAAGGGATATAGCTACTATAGGGCTAGGTAAAAAGGAATAGCACGTAAAAGATAAAAGCTAGGACTTAGGGGAGAGGATATAAGGAGAAGCCCCTTATTTCCTCTCCCCTTAAGTCCCTAAGTTTATTACCCGCGCCCCCCCTAGGGCGTAGTTATATAACCTACTCTTCCGCCCTAAGTAGAGTTAAACTTACGATTAATAGGGTTATATAACCTACTCTTACCGTTTAACTAGTAGTTATAAGTTATATTTATAACCTTCCTTATAAGGAAGGGTATAGCAGGGCATCCCTTTAAGTAGCCTAGGTACTATAGTATATAAGAGTCTTTAACTATTATAAGTTATAGGCTTAAGCTTCGGCCTAAGCTATATAGTTATATATAAAAGGCCGGATCTTATATATATATATATTAGCTAGCTATATATAAAAGAGCTCTATATAGCTTATTAATATTG